CCCTCGTAATCAATCTGAAATGCGCGCAAACTGACTCGAATTCAGTGACAATGGAGCAACTACATATGATGTAATGGAAAAGTAATTAGAAAGGCTTTAGTCGTTTGCAATGAGGAATACCCACTTGTCTCAATTTCCTTCCACCATTTCCATAATTATCATGTGTATCATTCTCGGTCGAATTAGAAGAGATACGATGAGCTCTTCCACCTGAACCCGACAATTTTTGTCGGTCATTAGTTTGAGGGCGAGTGACAGAAGAAGACGGAGAATGCACGTGTTGGTCCTGCTGACGATGAGAAAAGTTCTAAAAAAAAGTAGAAACTAAAATTTCGGCAGCTACACACGGAAATGATTTACCGGACTAGATGGTGGACTGGCTACCGTTATGGTAGTCGGTGGAAAAGCATTTGATTGTCCACCGCTGCCTCCACCAGTAACGGAAGATGTTGCTAATGTTGTGCCTCTCAGCTGATCCGCAGCGGCTAACACAGTCGCATTCGACTAAAAATGCAATTTAGAAAACTCAACAAAAAAGTGCAAAACCTGACCCTAACAATGGTTCCTCCTGGACTGCTATCACCGTCATTCACAGAAACATGCGTCCGCCCAGGAAGCGCAGGTCGAGACTGTCGGTCACGCTGTCTTACAGTCTCATCAATCTGGTCAGCATCATTTCTTTCACTTGCGGCTCCACGCACCGTGGGGTAGTCCCAAGAGTTCGTTCCTCCTCCACCATCCGAGTCTTCGTCAAGGTCACTGTCGGATGAGACGCCGGTTCGAGAGCTGATAATGAAATACTTCAACCAGAATATCGTAAACTCGAGGCGAAGCACTGTGTTTTACCGATACTCTCTTGCCCTTTCAATAAGCTCTACCAAAATTCCATTTTTCTTTGCCTTTTTGATGAACGGATGCTTCAAAAGTGCATTGGCCGAGGGTCTCTAAAGTGGAAAATTCTGTCATCATATGAGACTGTAAACCTCTAAAGCAATCTACATTATCTGGATCTTTATTTAGACACAGCTCCACAAAATCTTTAAACGTTCGCGACCACTGTGGGCCTGTTAATTGCGGAGGTGGATTTTTAGGAATTAGAAATAGCACACGCATCGGATGCAAATCGGAATGTGGTGGTTCGCCCTGAGCCAACTCGATGGCCGTTATTCCAAGCGACCAAATATCAGCCTGAAACAAATGACATTTTCTTCAAAAATTTCTCTACAATCCACTGCAAAGCCTAAAGACTGAAATAGCATGGAGGGAATATAAGCAAGGTTAGGAACAACAGCACTTCACCTTATAGTCATAGCTAGCTTGTTTAATTAGCTCCGGAGCCATCCAAAACGGTGAACCGACAAAAGTAATGCGTTTCTTAACCGTCTCCGTCAATTGCCCAGCGACTCCAAAGTCAGCCACTTTCACATCACCTTGTTCGCTCACCAAGACGTTAGCCGCTAGAACACGGAGGAATGGGGGGAGATTTTTGCACAGTTAGCACACTTATCACAGGGACTACCCTCGGAGAAAATATTGGAATATTCCCGCGGAAAATAGTAAGGAGAGAGAGCATTACAGATAAAAACTGCCTGAGACAAACTGACTGATTTGGATCCATGGAATCA